ATGGTCATGGCTTTGTGCCAATAAAACTTTATAAAAACAGGAAGTAAGCTGAAATTGACTTTCAGGTGATAGCTCTCAAACTATTTTGGACAACAACAAAATATGTATTCTCTCATGACCTACTACATACACACATGTGTGTATGAAACTGAAGCAAAATTTTATTTAAAAAAGAAACCATTCCCCTACTTCATGTGATGCACTATGGTATTTAATGTTTTATGTGTTTGTTTATAATGCTAATTGCAACCCACCAACTTGATTTCGTGATCTGCTAATGGGACATGACCTACAATTTGAAAACACCATAAGATAATGGGAGAGATCCTTGTAAAATTTTTTTAAGTGAAAACGTAACCCATCCCTGAATAAGTTTAGGAACTAACTGAACATTGCTGCAGTGATTTAGATAGGTGACTCCAAATAAAGGTGGAACCATGATATTAATATTGAAGAGTGACTGCATTCTATACTGTGATTGTGGAAAAATCAGAGCTTCAGTGCCATGCACCATTTTTTCTAAAGCCGGCTTCCACCCTCTTCTGAGTTGTAAAATTCTGTTTAGTGCCTGAGCACTTGACTGGTTCTTCCATTAAACGCACGCAGGGTCTTGTTCCTTTCCGCTGTTGTTCAGGTTATGTGAAATTGCCTCCGGAGAAATTTGCACCTAAAAAACAGGGTGATGGTGGTAAGGACCTTCCCACAGAAGCAAAGAAGCTTCAGCTGAATTCTGCAGAGGAGCTGTATGCTGAGATCAGAGATAAAAACTTCAATGCCGTGGGCTCCGTGCTTAGCAAGAAAGCAAAGGTGATCTCTGCAGCATTTGAGGTGAGACTGTTTGGTTGTTATACAGCTTCTGTAGGTCACAGGCTAGACTGCTCACCCCTCCTAGCGAGGAAGGACTGCCAAAAGTGCAGCCACTAAGCAGGGCTGCAGTTATCCTAAGNAAAAAAAATTTCTTATCACGAAGTAAGGTTCTTTTTATCCAGGGACAATATTCAAGATTGAGATTCAGCAGTAAGAATGGGTTTTTTTTTTCTATTAAAGAGGAAACTATTTGCTATTTATGTTCCCCTCTTAACATCATGTCTTGATTTTAATTTTTTACTCAGAAATGTTTGTGGATAACCTTGGGGGATAATATTGTCCCCCACAAATACTAATCACAATATTATCTGGTGCCTGGGAAGGAAAAAAACCTTAGGCATTTGCTCCCTAAAAAAGTAATAATATAGTGAACAGGAACACCGAGCCTACCTTTTCTGTTTTTCTTTGTCATGTTGAAGTTGGGTCTGGCCTGATTTATTTGTATTCCATTCTTTCTTTTGCATTAGTATATTGAATGTCCTCTAAGCAACACAAAGAACAGAGCGCTTAAAGTATCTTCCTCACTTCCCGCTTCTGCTGTTTTCTGCATTTCAGGAAAGGCACAACGCCAAGACGGTTGGGGAGATCAAGCAGTTTGTTTCACAGCTGCCCCACATGCAGGCAGCACGAGGCTCCCTCGCAAATCACACCTCGATTGCAGAGCTGATCAAAGATGTAACTAGTGAGTATCCTTGGGAAGTGATGGAGCTCACCTGGGGCTGACTAGACGCACCATGACTGACACCGTGGCCATTGGCACCACCGTGCTCCCTGGGAGGGTTAGCTCCCTGGGAGGGTTAGCTCTGTTTTAATACCGCATGTTATCCTCAGTGTTAATTAAATGTTCCCATATTTATAGTAAAAAATGTTCCCTTTGTGATTAACTCAGTTTTCTTTCATTAATAGGATAATGTAATCATGTAATACAATATTTGGATTGTCAAAAAGAGGAAAAAGTTCTCCCCCTAACATGAGGCAGTTAATTTTTTCAGTCTGGTTTTTATCCTGTCATTAAGGATTACTTAGAGCAGCATCCAGTCTCTGAGTTTTCGTTTTTCCCTTGAAGACTCCCTGGGTAGAGAGCATATGTTAAATATTTTGAAAGAGCTTGGGAAATGTCTGTTACACTAAAGATGAATTTACTTGTTAAAACACAGGCTATAAAAGCTGAGTTAGAGATTGTTCAATGCCCTGTTTTATAAAGTATACTTTGAATCTTACATAAAAGTGTTAGAAAATCAGTCCTTTGTTTTCATGTTGATGGAAGTGGAAATCAGGTGAAACTGGGTTAGAGCTGATGATGCAGGTAAAAGGCCCTTGGCAAATTAGCTTTCGTTGATACTGAAGAAAAATTCCTAAGATCTTATTAGAGCCCTAAGGATCTTGAGATTTCATTAGAGTCCTAAGAATAGTGAAGGGGTACAGTGGTTGACTATTCCTGGATGTAACTTAGGAGGTCAGAGTTGTAGTTTTCCGTGTTTCTTAGAAGATTCTTTTCAGGTGGCAGTTTGAATTTTTTTGTCTGCTTTCTTTTCTGCATGTTTCTTTTTTTTTTTTCCTGCACCAGGCACCCAACCCAACTGGGAACCAGGCACTCAACCCAACTGGCCCTCAGTCTTCTCAGTCCACCCAAATAGGGGAGACCAGGTCTCACAGACTGTGACCCACACAGTCAGCCACTGCTAGTAGGTCACAGAGACAGGGATGGGGGAGAGGTTCACTACTGCCTCAAGGCCTGGGCCACGGCTGGTGGAGGGCCTTAATCAGGGCTCTGGAGCAGGACATAGTCCCCAGTCTGTTCCCTGGGCCCTCCAGCTCACCTGCTGGCCAGATGCTGGGTGAGCTTGAGGGCCTCCAGGAGAAGGCCTGAATCTGCCTGTTGCTTCACTATCTACCTGATGGTCTCTGCACCACTAACCCTTAGCTGAATCACTTACCTAATGGTCCCTCATTGACTGTTACTTGTGGGCAAGGTCCACCGTGGCACTGACCAATAGCTGAGCAGGACAACTACCGGTTGCTCATTCACCGTGGCTTGTGGGCCGCGCCCACTGGGGAACCGGACCAATGGCTGAGCAAGACCCGTTGCCTGGTAACGGGTGTGGAGTAATGAGGCCCATCAGCGGCTGCCTGCTGGGGGATGTGCCCATCCTGCTCTGTTACACTACCTCACGGAAAACTGCCTGGAAGGGGGGTGGAATGGATCGTTTGGGATCATCAGAGAAGGTCATTCATTGAATCCACTTCACTTTCCCACGCTGCTCACAACAAATGGGTCCATGCGGGGTTTCAAACACTGTGGGCTGTTCTCGATATGTACTGTTCACAGCATCTAAAATAGAGCATACCTATGGCTAAGCAACCCACGCCAGTATTCTTGCCTGGGAAATCGCATGGACAGAGGAGCCTGGTGGGCTATAGTTCATGGGGTTGCAGTAGGTCCACGACTGAGCGACTAACACTTTCACTTTCATGCATACTTTATAATGGGGCTTCCCTGGTGGCTCAGCAGTAAAGAATCCTCCTGCCAATACCAGAGATGCAGGTTCAGCCCTGTGTTGGGAAGATCCCTTGTAGAAGGAAATGGCAACTCACTCCAGTATTCTTACCTGGGCAATCTCAGACAGAAGAGCCTGGCAGACTACAGTCCATGAAGTCGCAAGGGTTGGACGTGACTTAGTGACTAAACCACCCCCACCACCATGGCTACTTTACACAGCACTGAAGTGATGTTTGCATACAGAGTAATTAAAAGGTAGGGAAGCATTTAAAATATGTTCCAGGTTTTCAGAGAAGTAGCGAATCACTAATCAGCATGTTATCCTAAAGCTTTTCAGCTGTGTTAAGGCCTCTAGGTAGCCATGTTTTAACTTCCCACTTGGAGGGAAACAGCTGCCTTAAGAGAGCTTCATATAACCTCTAAATACTCAAGAATTAGGAAATATGGTTCCATTGCAGAAATAAGGTGAGCCTGGGCTCATCATGTGACCATTGGTTAAGGATTTAATTTGGAGTGCAGTATATTTATATGTATTTAAACAGTACTTTCTGTTTCTGTTCTCGGTCTCACACATGCAATTGGTTGGCCAAATGCAACCTTTGAGAACCATATTACTTGTCCTTTTCTGCCTATACGTTTACTATTGTTACCCAATTTGATTGCAGCTTTCTTTTTACTCACAAGAGAATAATGCAGTCCTGAATAAAGTCTGAAATTGATCCTAGTCTGGTCCCATATTACTGCTGCTGGTTGAACAGTCAGAATACAGATTCAGAAATTTTCTGTAATAAGAAGTGTGTTTGTAGTTCAATGACGTATCAAATCAGGAAAAAAAGGAAACTACTGAGTGCCCTGTAGTTCAGTTAACTGCCTAGTTGTAGTTAACTAGCTAAGCCACTTGATGAACTCCTGAGATACCACTCTGAAAAGTGGTTTGTGAAACCTATAGGTAGACTGCCAAAAAACAACTCCGTGAATTGAATTTTTTAATTTTCATTTGAAGGCAGGTAACAAGAAATAAAAGGATGTCTTTAAAAAGATTCAAAAATTAGAAAGAGATTTGATTATGATTATATAGAAGTATTACTGCAGAGATGTATGCTTGTGATTTGAAATTCCTTCAGTGAGGGATTTGATTAAAGAGACAGCTACCCTGAAAGAAACATCCTGTCAGTCAGTTTGATTGGTGATAGAGTTCAGGGTAATCCTCTGTGTGCAGTTACACACATTCTGGGTTCCATTTGGAACCCACCTTTGTACATGTCTTCAACAAAAGAAAATGATTTTCAATTTCTATAATGAGAAAGGTTCTGGCATTTTGTTTGTGAAACCAACTTTTCCTTCTCTGGAAGAAGGGAATATTTTTGCAGTTGTGAAATGAGCAACTTTTCCTATATGGCATAGTGTTTTGTTTTGACTGACAAGGGAAAAGAAAAGAGAAAAAAAAGGCTTTGGAATTTTTAGACCCTGATGCTGGGAAAGATTGAAGGCAGGAAGAGAAGGGGACAACAGAGGATGAGATGGTTGGATAGCATCACTGATTCAATAGACATGAGTTTGAGTAAACTTGGGGATGTTGGTGACGGACAGGGAGGCCGGGCATGCTGCAGTCCATGGGGTTGCAAAGAGTCAGACATGACTGAACAACTGAACTGAACTGAAATTAAATTAAATCCTTTTCACCCAGCAATTAGAACAAGAGAAATGTGAAAGATGATTTGAGAACCAAGAAGGGGAGGACGTGTGTCTGAGCTGGAGACTAGTGTGAAACAGCTTCAGTTTGAGTTGGAGAGTCAGCCAGTAAGAAAGCAGATTGAGAAGAAACACGGACTGTCCAGAAATTATCAGAACAGAACCAAAGGTTATTGGATCAGCTCAGCAGGGTGAGTCACAAGTTAAGAATTTGTGGAATAAAATTATAAAAGTTAAAACAGAGCTTTTGTGTAATGTCTATCGTGTATATGGTAAGAGTAATTCAGATTTTTGTTGCCTTTGTACTGATATCAACAAATGAAGTGTTCTTCACCTGTAAGAATTCCAGCTTTGAGGTGTCAGGAGCAAAGACCCTTGCCTGTCATTAGCCAGCTGTGAGATTTTGGCAATCACTTAACTTGGGAGTTTTCTCACCTTAAAAACGAAAGGGTTTGCTTAATGATTTCTGGTGTTTCTTATAGCTCTTGTTGTTGCGCTTGCTCTTCAGTGGCTAAGTTGTGTCAGACTCTTTGCAACCCCATGAACTGCAGCATGCCAGGCTTCCCTGTCCCTCACTATCTCCTGGAGTTTGCTCAAACTCATGTCCCTTGAGTCAGTGATGCCATCCAACCATCTCATCCTCTGTTAGCCCCTTCTCCTCCTGCCCTCAATCTTTCCCAGCATCAGGATCTTTTCCAGTGAGTCGGCTCTTCACATCAGGCAGCCAAAGTATTGGAGTTTCAGTTTCACCATCAGTCTTTCCAATGAATATTCAGGGTTGATTTCCTTTAGGATTGTCTGGGTTGATCTTGCAGTCCAAGGGGCTCTCAAGAGTCTTCTCCAGCACTACAATTCAAAAGCATCAGTCCTTCAGCGCTTAGCCTTCTTTATATTTCAATTCTCGCATCCATACATGACTACTGGAAAAACCATAGCTTTGATTATATGGACCTTTGCTGGCAAAGTTATGTCTCTGCTATTTAACATGCTGTCTAGGTTTGTCATGGCTTTTCTTGTAAGAAGCAAGTGTCTTTTATTTTATTTTATTTTTTTTTTCATTTATTTTTATTAGTTGGAGGCCACATCCATACACGGCTACTGGAAAAACCATAGCCTTGACGAGATGGATCTTTGTTGGCAAAGTAATGTCTCTGCTTTTTAATATGCTGTCTAGGTTGGTCATAACTTTCCTTCCAAGGAGTAA